GGAGAACTATGAAACACTGAGGAAGGAAATACCATTGGACATAAACAGGTGGAAAACCATTCCATGCTCATGGATCAACATTGTTGGAATGTCTGTACTACCCAAAGTGATCTACAGATTCAATGCAATCCCTATTAAAATACCAACATCATTTTCGCAGATCCAAAAAAAATAATTCTACACTTCGTATGGAGCCAGAGAAGACCCTGTATAGCAAGAGCAATCTTAAGCAAAAAAAACAAATTCGGAGGCATCAATTTACTAGACTTCAAGCTGTACTACAAGGCTATAGTAGCTAAAACAGCATGGTACTGGCACAAGAACAGAGACATAGACCAATGGAACAGAACTGAGAACCCATATGTAAAACCATCCTCATATAGCCATCTAATCTTTGACAACGCAGACAAAAAGATAAACTGCGGGAAAGAATCCTTATTGAATAAATGGTGCTGGGGAAATTGGATAGCCACATGTAGAAGACTGAAACAGGATCCACACCTCTTAACCTCTCACAAAAATCAACTCATGATAGATAAAAGACTTAAACCTAAGGCATCGTACTGTAAGAATTCTAGAAGGAAATGTTGGGAAAACTCGGCCCAAGGAAAGAATTTATGAAGAAGACCCCAAAGACAGTCACAGCAACAACAAACATAAATAAATGGGACCTGATCAATTTAAAAAGCTTCTACACAGCCAAGGAAACTATCACCAGAGCAAACAGACAACCCACAGAATAGGAGGAAGTATTCACATGCTACCCATCCAATAAAGGGCTGATAACTAGAATCTATATAGAACTCAGGAAAATCAGCAAGAAAAAATCAAACCACCCCATTAAAAAGTGGGCAAAGGACATGAACAGAACTTTTCAAAAGAAGACAGATCAATGGCCAACAAACATATAAAAAATACTCAACATCTCTAATCAGGGAAATGCAAATTGAAACCACAATGAGACATCACTGAACTTCAGTGAAAATGGCTTTTATCAAAAAGTCCCAAAACAACAAATGTTGGCATGGATGCAGAGAGATAGGAACACTCATACGCTGCTGGTGGGACTGCAAACTATTACAACCTCTATGGAAAGTAATATGGAGCTACCCCAAAGAACTAAAAGTAGAACTACTATTTGATCCAGCAATCCCATTACTGGGCACCTACTCAAAGGAACAAAAGACATTCTATAAAAAAGACATCTGTGCTAGAATGTTTATAGCAGCACAATTCACAGTTGCAAAGATGTGTAAACAACCCAAGGGCCCATTGATACATGAATGGCTTAATAAAATGTGGTATACCATGAAGTACTGCTTGGCCACAAAAAACAATGGTGATCTAGCACATCTTGTATTATCATGGATAGAGCTAGAGCCCATTCTACTAAATGAAGTATCACAAGAATGGAAAAACAAGCACCACATGTACTCATCATCAAATTGGTATTAATTGATCAACACTTATGTGCACATATAGTAGTAACATTCATCGGGTGTTGGGCAGGTAGAAGTGGGGAGGAGGTGTTGGGTATATTCACACCTAATGGGTGTGGTGGACACTGGGAGATGGACTCGCTTGTAGTTCTGACTCAGGTGGGACAAAGTCAACATTTGTACCACCGTGATACTCTGAAATTTTAAAAAAAGTAGTATAAATTGCTACAACCACTTTGAAGAGCTGTTTGGCCTGCTTTGGTAAAGCTAAAAATGGTCATATGCTACAACACAGCAAGTATACTTCTAAATATATACCCAAATGAAATTATCATATTATGTGCATAATGTGAATACAAGAATGTTTACAACAGTATTAGTTAATAAGCAAGCTAAATCCAACAGGAGAATGGATAGTGGCTTTTTTCTATAATTGGTGCAAGGTTTTAAAATATGCAGAACAATACTATATATTTTTATAGATAAATATGAAAATATTGAAATGTGCATTAAATTAAATAGTATTTCTTAGATCTGTTTACTCTTCTTTATTGAAATATTCCATGAAAAGTTAATTCCATATTCACAAGTTTTTTAGGAGTATTATGTATAATATTTTATTAGAGAATCTGTTACTTTTTTGTTTTTTCTCTTATCAAGTTGTGATTTGAGAGGATGTGTTACTTTTAATAAAAGTAAATTGACTTTTAAAAAGTTAAAAAAAAGTTATACACAGTTGACCTAAGAACTGTATCAAATTTTAAAATTTAAATGTTAAACTAAATGAGGAAATGGTTTTATTTAAGAAATAGTTTTATTTAAGAATGGTTTTATTTAAGAAATTTAAGTTTAGAAATGTTAAAGTTCACCATAATCCTTGAATACTCAAAATGAAATAAACTAGTTAATGGATGATGGTCAAGAAAAATATCCACTATAAATATGCAAAAGAAAAGCATAGGTGTTAACAAGTATACAAATAGCGTCTTGGTTCATTTTTATCAGTGGCCTTTTCTGGGCATTTCATTTCTGTTGGGTTTTGAGGGGCTTCAGTAAATAGCATCCCATTTCTTCGGTGGAATTCTGGACCAACTGAAAAATAAAAGTGTCAGAATGCGGAGATTCAGAATAGCCCCTTTGTTACAATAAAGGATGGGATAGAAGAAACAGCTTATTGAGACAGTCAAATTAGTCTTGGAACTCCCTGACTATCAATTCTACCTCCCATCTAAGTCTAGAGTAGACCATCCCATTTCAAGGAAAGTTTGCATGTGCGGAGCAAACTAACTTACCCAGGTCACTGTTTCCTACTCACTGGTCCAGGGAAGAGGGAAGGAAAAAGAGACCAAACTCCCCACCATCCAGGTAAGTCACTCTGCATCCCTGGGCAGAATGTAGGGGTCGAGTAAGAGGCCTCCTGTTTAGTTAGTAAAAGATAATCTTCTCATGCAAGTTCGAGTGAGAGAAGACTAGTTTATGCCTTTCCCCTGGCATTTCATTTTGTCAGATTCGTATTTTGAGTATTTTCTGAAAATTAGTTGAACTAAACTATTAAACTTCAGTAGTTAGCTGTATTTACAGTAGGAAAGAATGTCATAATCTTATATGATTTATCTTTAACTCTTGATTTTTTTAAAAATTATGTCTTTGAAGAGCCTTGTACGATACCATGGTTCTTTGGATTAAAAGAGCAGAGAGTAAGTACTTTAGACATCTTGTGCTGACACTTAGTTTGCCAATTCATAGTTTGACGAACCTAGTCACTTACTTGTTACCTGCTACAAGCAAGAATTATACTGGGTAAGATTTAGCATATGACCATGTCATGGGAAGCCCTCACAGTCTAATGGAGGAGTCAAGTAATTACGGTGTTAGTGATACTACCGCAGACCATGAGCAGAGTGTCTTGGTTACATAAATGCTGGGAGATTAATGAGAACTGGTGATACATTGAAGATGATTTGTTGCTTCCATGTTAAAATACATGCATGAAGATTTTGTAAAGTTTTGAAATAAAAATATTATTACTAATTCCACCATTCTCATGGAAATGACAAACTCTTCATTTCAAATAAATCATTGGTCACAATTTAACTCTTCGAGTTATATTTTTTTAATTGTTTCCTCTAGTTTTATGCCCTCAGGGTATTTTGGAGGGAAATATGTGACGTGACTTTTTTTGTTTTATTAAGCCCTTTACATTAAAGGGTAGAGGGGTTGGGTGCAGTGGCTCATGCCTGTAATCCCAACACTTTGGGAGGCTGAGGCAGGAGAATCTCTTGAGATCAGGAGTTTAAGGTTGCAGTGAGCTATGATGGCGCCACGGCACTCTAGCTGGGGCAGCAGAGTGAGACCCTGCCTGAGGGGGGAAAAATAAGGGTGGGTGGCATACTGCTACCTTGAAAGTAACAGCTAAAGGGGAAATATTCATTAGATGTCTTCAGTGACAGTCAAAGGAAATCATTATTTTTCACTCACTAAAATTTTAATTGTAGAATTACATGAGTAACTATAACCACAGAAGGAAACTGGGGGGTGGTACCCCATGGAGTGGGAAGAATACATCCTTCAGAGCCAGATCAACCTGGGTTCAAATCCTTGCCCTAAATAGCAAATTCCTGAATCTCTCTGTCCATAAACAGTGATACCTGCTTCATTAGGCTCATTTGGAAATTAATGCTTAAAGTTTTTCTAAGCCCACAATGTAAAGAAAATCTTTCAAGAATGGGCCAAATGTATTTTAAGAAATAACTTAGTGCTGGTTAGGAAACTGCCTATAAAATTTGAATAAGAAGGATGCTAAAGTGCTTCTGACACTACAGTTCATAGCTTCCTGTCTGAAAAATGTAGACATCATTAAGGGGTGAAATCTTGTGCATACCACAGTGGGACAGAGGGTAAATAAATGATAGAACACATGGGAGTGAGTATGGTTATGAGGAGTATAAATGAGATAAAATATTTTTGATGTGTTATGGCAAAAGCAGGATATATGCATTTTACGTTAAATCTTTGTTTTAAAAATGTGCAGAAAAACTGAACTCGCCAATTAATCACATTCATTAGAATAATAGAATTGAATGATTGTTTTATTTTCCCTTCCTGTCAGTCCCATGAGTTTGTTTTATAATGAGAAAAATATGTTAAGACAGTTGTGCCTCCTGGAGCCAGAAGTTCCTTCTCTTTAGAGGCAAGATAATAGACTAGGTTTCTTAATGCTCGGTTCCACTGTTAAGACAGCCAGAGAAACAGACCATTAGTTCATGTAACTCCTTAGACATCAGCCTTTATCTATTATGTCTTTCTGTCAGCTGTCATAATTCAGTCTACCATGTTGGGTATGAATAGTAGAAAAATTCAAGTATGTCTTTTTAAAAGCAGTATTTTTCTTTGTGTTGATGTTACAGATTTATTTGAGGTTCCTAGATTATCAAATGGAGCACTCAAATGAATGCAAGAGAAACTTCGTTGCAGTCTATGATGGAAGCAGTTCTATTGAAAATCTGAAGGCCAAGTTCTGCAGCACTGTGGCCAATGATGTAATGCTTAAAACAGGAGTTGGAGTGATACGAATGTGGGCAGATGAAGGTAGTCGGCTTAGCAGGTTTAGAATGCTCTTTACTTCCTTTGTGGAGCGTAAGTAAATAATTCCTATAGTATTGAGATCTTTTACATAATTTTCACTCATTCACAGTATACTTATTGAGCATTGAATTTTAAAAATTCCTTTTTAAAAACATTTCTAAATTTTATTTATTTTTAGAGGTAGGGGTTTCCCTGTTGCCCAGGCTGGCCTCGAACTCCAGGGCTCAAGCAGTCCTCCCACCGCAGCCTCGCAAGTAGCTAAGACTACAGGTGCGCGACACCACACTGAGCAGCTTTTGCTTTTGACAAAAACTGCAAGTCACAGAGGATGTAGAAACAACTAAATCTTGGTCCCTGTTCTTGAAGAATTGACTATCATGGATAAAAAAAAAAATCTATGTTATTGGATAAATTGGATCACTGCCTCATTATAAAGATGTAAACAAGTGATGGGGATTGTAGAAAGTGGAGCCTGATGCTTTCTCTAAAGATTTTCTAACCTATCAGTAGCATTCAGCTTGGTGAATAATTGTGATTCTACCAAAGCATGGTCACCAAAGATTTAGATATGCTATTGATGTTTTCTTTTTTAATTTTTTGTTTTTAAATAACTTTAAGGATACAGAAAGTTATAAAAATAGTGGAGTTCCCATATGCCCTTTACTCAGATTTTCCTAATGTTAACATCTTACAAAACCATACTGAAAATTAACACTGATGCAATATTACTAATTAAATCTATAACCCTTATTCAGATACCTCTAGTTTTGCTGTTCATGTCTCAGGATCCAATTTCCCACTTTGCTTTTGTCAGTTGTCCTAAGTCTTCTCCATCTATGGCAATTAGTCTTTCTGCATCTTCCTTTGACACCTTTTAAAGAACACTGGCCAATTTCATAGAACGTCCATCAGTTTGGGTTTGCGTGACGTTTTCTTAGGGATTCAGTTGAGGCTATGCGTTTCTATCAAGCCTGTGAAATTATGTTGTGCTTCTCTCAGAACATCGTGTCAGTGAAGTGCAGATACATGATGCTAGCTTGTCTTACTGCTGGTGATGATGGCTTGGAGCACTTCGTTAAGGTGCTGCCTGCCAATTTTCTCCACTGAAAAGTTAACTATTTTTTTCCTTTCAAATTAGTAAGTCTCTTTGAGACTATACAAATATCCATTCACTCACTAATTTTAGCTTCCACGATAGCTTCTGCCTGTAACAGTTATTACCATAGTGTTTACCTAATGGCGATTTTCAGTTTCCATCATTCCTCCTACATATATTATTATAATTAGAATTCCGCTCTAAGGAAGAACTATTTTTTTTCCCACTTATTTATTCTTTTCTTTGTTTATATCAGTATGGGCTCATGGATATTTTGGCCATTGGGAGCTCCTTCACTTTACCTCCTATATCCAGTTATAATTTTTTAAATCACTTTCTTATTTTCTGGTACCACTCAATGAACCAGGCTCAACTTGTATTTCCCCTGCGTTAGCTCTAGAGCCAACTGTATTTCAAAGGAGCCCTTTCTTTATCTTACAGTAAGAAACGTGACTCTAATTATCCAAAATATATTTATTTCTTCAATCCTAATATGCACAAAAAGTTTTATAATTGTTAACTCATATCCCTCTGAGAAAATTCTTAACACAGTACTTTATTTGTGTACAATTCTTTTTTTTTTTTTTTGAGACAGCGTCTCACTGTTGCCCGGGCTAGAGTGCCGTGGCGTCAATCTAGCTCGCAGCAACCTCAAACTCCTGGGCTCAAGCGATCCTCCTGCCTCAGCCTCCCAAGTAGCTGAGGGACTACAGGCATGCGCCACCATGCCCGGCTAATTTTTTCTATACATATATATTTTTACTTGTCCAGATAATTTCTTTCTATTTTTAGTAGAGACGGGGTCTCGCTCTTGCTCGGGCTGGTCTCGAACTCCTGACCTGGAGCGATCCACCTGCCTCGGCCTCCCAGAGTGCTAGGATTACAGGCGTGAGCCACCACGCACGCCTAGCCAACTTGTGTATTTTCTTATGTCCCTTTTTTTCTTACATGAAGGGCAGCATTATACTCTTTTGCACTTTGCATTTTTTACTTAAAAGAATATCCAGAAAATCATGCCATATCAGTTCATAGAGATTATCCTTATTTTTTGTAGATGCGTAGTAGAACATTGTATATACCAACTTTATTTGGTCTTCTATTTATGGGCATATGAATTATTCCCAATATTTTGCAACTAGAAATAATGCTGTAGTGAATGATGTTGAGTGATATTGTTGGAGGCATATCCTCAGGATAGATTCCTAGAAGTTCGATTGTTTGCTCCAAAAGTAAGTCATATGTAGTTTAGGTATTGCCAAATACCTTTCCAGAGGGGTTATAGCTTTTTTAAAAATTGTGGTAAAATATAGGCAACGTAACATTTACCCTCAGCCATTTTTTAAGTATACGAATCAGTGGCATTAAGTACACTCACATTGCTGTACAACTCTTACCACCATCCTTTGCCAGAGCATTTTTGTCATCCCAAAGTGAAACTCTGAACCCTTTAAGCAATAATTCCCAATTTCTTTCACCTCCCACTCCTGGCTGCCTCTATTCTACTTAGTCTCTGCGAATTTCTCCATTCCGGGTAACTCTCGAAGTGGAATCGCAATGTTTGCCCTTCTGTGTCTGGCTTATTTTGCTCAGCATAGCATTTTCAGGTTCTGTCCATATTGTAATATGTGTCAGAATTTCCTCCTTTTTTAAGGCTGATTAGAATTCCATCATGTGTATATGCCGCATTTTGTGTATACATTCGCATGTTGATGGACACTTGGGTTGTTTTTTACCTTTTGGCTGTTGTGAATAATGTTGCTGTGAACATTGGTGTACAAGTATCTGTTCAAGTTCCTGCTTTCAATTCCTCTGCATATATACCTGGAAGTAGAATTTCTGGGTCACATGGCAAATCTGTTTAAACTTTTGAGGAACCAGCAGTGGCTGCACCATTTTACATTCCCACCAGCAATGCACAGAGGGCTCCAGTTTCTCCACCTCTTTGCCAACACGTGTCATTTTTTGTTGTTTTTTTTTTCAATAATAGCCATCCTAATGTGTATAAAGTGATGTCTCATTGTGATTTTGATTGCCTGGTAATTAGCCCACCTTTCCATGGGCTTCTTGGCCATTAGTGTACGTGCTTTGGAGAAATGTCTGTTCAAGTCCTTTGCCCATTTTTGAATTAGGGGTTTTTTAAGTTGTAGAAGTTCTTTACATACTCTGGATATTAATACTTTATCAGATATATGATTAGCAGATATTTTTCGTATTCTGGGTTGTCTTTTCGCTCCCTTGATAGTATTCTTTGAGATACAAAAGTTTTTGATTTTTATGAAGCCCAATCTATTTTTGCTTTTGTCACCTTTACTTTTGGTATGATATCTAAGATATCATTGTCAAAGCCAGTGTCATGAAGCTTTTCCCATATGCTTTCTTCTAAGAGCTATATAGTTTTAGCTTTTACTTACATTTACACCTTCGATCCATTTGGAGTTAATTGTTATACATGGTGTAAGGTAAGGGCCCACCTTCAGTCTTTTTCATGTGGATATTCAGTTTTCCCCAGGTCATTTGTTGAAAAAACTGTCCTTTCCCCATTGAGTGGTCTCGGCATCCTTGTCAGAAATCAAATGGGCTGGATGTGGTGTTCTGCAGCCAATAGTCCCAGCTACTTGGAGCACTTGAGCCCAGGAGTTCAAGGCTGTAATGTGCTACAGTGGCTCCTATTAATAGCCACTGTACTTCACCCTGGACAACATAGGGAAACCCCATCTCTAAAACGAACAAACAAACAAAATCAGTTGGCCATTTATATGAAGATTTATTTGTGAGCTCTCTATTCCATTGTTCAATACATCTGTCCTTATGCCAATACCAATGGTTTTGATTAACGTAGATTTGCAGTAAGTTTTGAAATCAAAATGTGAGTCCTCTTTTTTCTTCTTTTTCAAGATTGGTTTGGCTATTCAGTATCCCTTGAGAGTCCATGCATTTTAGGATGGGCTTTTCCATTTCTACAAAGAAACACTGTTGAGATTTTGATAGGGTCACTTTAAATCTGTGGTTCACTGTGAGTAATATTGTCATCTTAACTACATTAAAGCCTTTCAATCCATGAACACAGGATGTATTCCTATTTATTTGCCATCTTTAATTTTATTCAGCAATATTTTATAGTTTTCAGTGTACAAGTCTTTTGTCCCTTGGTTAAATTTATTCCTAAGTATTTTACTCTTTTTGATACTATTATAAATGGAATTATTTTCTTACTTTCCTTTTCCGATTGTTCATCATTAGTATATGGAGATGCAACTGATTTTTGTGGGTTGGTTTTGCATCCTCTACAACTCTGCTGAATTAGTTTATTTATTTATTTTTTATTTTTTGAGACAGAGTCTCACTCTATCGCCCTGAGTAGAATACAATGGCATATCTTAGCTCACTGCAACCTCAAACTCCTGGGTTCAAGGGATCCTCTTGCCTCAGCCTCACAAGAAGCTGGGACTACAGGCAGCACCGCAACACCTTGCTAATTTTTCTATTTTTAGTAGACTGGGTCTCGCTCTTGCTCAGGCTGGTCTCGAACTCCTGAGCTCAAGCAATCCTCCCACCTTGGCTTCCTGCTAGGATTACAGGTGTGAGCCACTGTGTCCAGCCTGAATTAGTTTATTAACTATAACAGGTGTGTCTATATAGTCCTTAAGGTTTACTACATATAAGATCATGTCATCTGTGAACAGAGAAAATTTTGTATTTTCCTTTCCAGTTTGGATACCTCTTACTTACTTTCCTAGTTGTTCTAGCTAGATCTTCCAGTACTATGTTGAATAGAAGTGAAACTGGGCATCCTTGTCTTGATCCTGATCTTAGTGGAAAAGCTGTCAGTCCATTACCATTGAGTATATTATTAATAGCTTTCGGTTTTTCATAAATGGCCTTTATCACATTAAGGAAGCTTTCATCTATTCCTAGTTTATTGAGTGTTTTTGTCAAGAAAGGGTGTTCAATTTTG